AAAAATGTTCTTGATAGAGAAATATCTACAATGCCCGAAAGGTTTCGTGATCATTTCGCTGTTACAAGCTACATGGATTCACCAGATGACTATAATTTTGGGTATTGTCATACGACTTGTATGGAAATAGTACCACACCACCCTATTATACCATATGACCACTTTAARGAATATCAACTTATMGGTTATAAATCATTAAGTGACGTCTTTAATGTTACGGCACTTTATGCAGATTTAGCTAAATTAATTGCTAAGTTGTTCTAGTGAATAATGATAATCATCACTTCAAGTTGCGATTTCCCACTACAAGAATAGTCCAGATCGAGTGTATGAAAGTCTAGACGAGTGTGTACGTTGTCCTTCTGGGGCAGTGATCACCCATGTGGCACATCATGTTTGCCGGTATATTTTTGGGAAATTGAGGAGAGTAAAAAACACCGCCACTGCTTGCGTTCACATTAAACAGGTTGTCTTGATTTTGAATTTTGCAGGGTCCAAAGGACTCTGTTAATAAGTTAACGAATTATGAATCAATCAATCAACCAACCAATCAGTCAATCAACCAATCAGCATTCGTGCCCGCATCATATCATCTATCAATCAATCATTCACCCAACCAAGTCGTTCAATCAATCAATCAGTTCATCCATCCATATCATTAGGCTGTCAATTTTAATAAAAAAAAATACCCAAAAAGAAGTCGGCAGATTTTTAGCCGCCACATGACCGAGAATGAATGAGTTTCCAGTAATTTGATCCTTCACCAAACGCAATGCATGCATGGATTGCCAAGGGGCAAACAAAGCGAGACCTACAAGAGTTTGTATGGCGGAAATTCTTATTTTCATGTTTATCGCTCGAATTTTTTAGTGAATATGGAACTTTTTTCGCCGTTAAATTTTACAGGATATCATTAGAAGGAAGTGGTACAATCTGTATACGTAAGTTTTTAACGATATATATAAAATTATAGGCGAAAAACCCAAAATTGACCCCAAAATGTGAAGAAAACCCACAGTCCCATTTTGATGGGCGTGGTAGCGATTACATGTCACCCTAAAAGTGGACTAGATAAAATAACGTATTCCAGGGTTCGGTTTATATGGTTTGTATATCAGTTGGAAAATCACTATATATTAATGAACTGCTTTTTCTTTCTTCAAAAGCT